GAATTTGCTCCCAAAAATCTAAGAATATTTCCTTTTTGTAATTCCACTGAGTTCGACGTAGGTTGAAATCATTTGAATTTTATTTTTTTGACTACTAAGATCTTTGATGTAAAAAAATACGAATGGCTTTTCGAGTGTTTGGGGCATGGAGCATATAGTTTTACATGTAATAAAGGCTTTGATATAATGAATTAGAAAAAGAAAGAGAAAATATTTACTGAGAAGCATATATAGCCTCTAGTTTTCCTTTTTTTATTTTGGTTTTTAAAGAAACGCGATTTTTATATCTGTTTTTATTGTTGTTGAAAACGCCATTCTCACTCATGCTGACACGGTACGCAATCGTCTATTTCTGCCAATGCATGTGTGACTTCAGTGAGTGAAAAGGTGATGCATGGAGGCCAATATAACTTACGCGCTATCAGCGTTATCTGACTTCTTTTAGTGATGTCAGGTCTTTACAAGGATTTTAAGAGGGAAGGGGTTGTATATGTTTATGAAGCGCACGAATAGACCTCTTCGGCTTGGGGTAATGTTTTCCCATACCACGTGTCATTCCCTTGAGAACAATATTCTCTGTTTGAGCTGTATCCATATTCATGTGTCTTCTCGCGTTGCAACCGAGCGCAAACCTTAAACAAAGAAATGATACTCAAGGGAATGACATGTGGTCTGCGGAAATGGAAAGATATTACGTCAGAACCGAAGGTCTATTGGTTGAATGATACCGAAACAAAAAATAAAAAATAAAAAATAAGATAGAAAAATTCCTAGCGGCCCTATGGAGATCTGTGACCCTGTTGGACAAAGCGCCGCTTTATTAAAATATCATGTTTTTATCTTACACTTGGCTCGCAACAACCGTGTCAGTTGTAGCCGGCTGCCCCAAAACGCGCGTTCCTTGTAAGTCTTTAAACTATATTGCTGTAATTTCATTGATTATAGACGATGTCGGAAAGAAGCGTCCACTCCTACGAGCCACGCTTTGCATACTACGTGAACTCGGTATCCGACCTCGACCACAAAGTAGTCCTTGCGCACAAGGGGGAAGACTCGGAAAAACAGAAGCAGCTGTTGRARCAGGGAGAAAAGAACCACTACGATGTCTACGTTTGTGTGGATCATGGCTTGCATGGATTCGTACTTATCGTCCCGTGTGGAGACCCTTACGCCAACCTTTTGTATAAGGGTTTAATGGAGGATAACCCCTATAAGATTCCAGGAAAACTCTTTTGTCGGAAATTCGAACTTCGTTTTGAAAACATGAAGGAGAGAATGTACAAGATCTCCAAGTCGGTAACGGTATTTGAAAAAATCGAAAAATACACAAAGAAATTTTACTACGTTGGAAGGTACGCAGACGTCCCCCTCCCAGGGCTGGACCTGGCTGCCTCGAGGGCGGCCCCCCAACGACGCGAAACCTTGCTTAACGACTGCGTCGAATTCGCCAAGGAATATTGCTATGCTTTGCTCAGTTACTGTAGCAATGGACTGGAAATTGAGAAGGAAGTCAAGAGCAATATCAAGAAGGCCACTGCGTCAGGATTCACAGTAGAGAAGCTTTCTCGCCAAAGTTACTTCTCTGGGCTGATGGGTAACTTTTCGTTTGGTGGGGCGAATGTGACGAGCTTTTTGGCAGGGCAGCACGGTGCTATACTTCTTTGTATTTTGATGCTCTTTTTCTTTCTCTGGCCCATAGTAGTCATTGTGTTGGCTAAGCRTTATCAGTATATATAGCTGAGTGGAGTACGAAGCCCAATCCAGCATCATAGCATCATCATCTCCTTTGTTGAGCTTTTTATTTTTAAATTTTCGTGACCTTTGTTGCAATAATAGAAACAATGGTTGCCCTGAGCTAATAGTTCCCAAAGTATTTCCTTGATGGACTTTATTAWTCRGGAATGAATACTAAAATTCGGCCCTGTTTTTAGTGGAATGAGATAATTGGTAGCAAACATTCTAGTGTACAAGAAAGATGTACTGTGATTAACAGGACAATAACAAAAGGTGTTAGCAATTTATTGCTTATGTTTCCGCTTCAAAAAATTGATCTATCCGTCTATTTGTTCATATTTTAAACATAGAGTATTCAATTGAGGAATATAAATCGCACGCGGGTGTCTCTKTAGAGTAACATAAACACGATGGGAGCTGTAGAGCAAGAGAGAAGCAAGCTTAGGAACATGAGACGTAGCCGAGTATTTCTCTTACTTCTCGAGTGCTCTACAGCTCTCAGAGTATTTATATTACAGTACAGAGACATAAGCAGCCGTTTTATAATGCTTTTATATGATATTTTTGAATGGCTAAGTTGCGCGAGCGTGTCTCTGTCCTGTGATATAAACACGGTAACTAGCCAATCTGCAGCGCGCGCGTTAAAACACAAATATTTTTTAATGCAAATAAAGCAGTTTTAATTGATCTCAAAAGGCTATATGGTATACATTCACGATCGAACTGTGAAAGTTTATTGCATACAGATTATATGTACAATGAACAACATCAGTTCTATATGTCAAGCCCCAAGTAAGAGGCGAAGTGGAGTTGATAATTAGGTATACAGCTGCCTGCAAGCGGGGATTACTCGGTCCTACTGGCCAGCTCTTGAAAACATATTTCTCAAACTCATGAATATTTAATGAGAAGAAAACAAAGCAAATCACTACTGTGACGATGGTTTGGAAATGTGTTCTTAATTTGTATTAAATTTCGTAAACTTTTTCTTTGATTTTCTCTAAGAAATATTCATGAGTTTGAGAAGTAATTTGAAACACTTGAGAGAGTTCTTCCTTCTATTTCCAAACACCTCAAAGTCAGTTAGAAAAACTCGATTAAGCCTCGTTTTTTCAACTCACTTTTCGAAGTTTGGAAATCGGAGGAAGAACTCTCTCGCGTGTTTGAAATATTACGCCAAACACACCCGTTTCCATTTTACTTTCCTTGTACATATGATATTTTCTTGTCTTTTTAATCACTTTCTTCAAATTTCCAGTGTTTCTTAAACGTTTTGCTGTATCTTTGATTTGGCTTTGATTTGATTTTGATTTGACACGACAGCGTCTTTCATTTCGTTTATAACAACAAGACCGCGATCCCTAGACCGTGTGTGCACAGCCAGCAAGCAGGTCTTATAGTATTGTCGATTGCATCTCCTCTCGAGTGACGTAAAACACTGGAGGTTGCAGCCAACTACTGCTGTCTGTCTGCTGGTCCATAAACGAGTATATTCTCCAACACAAGATGCTCTTAAGATGCTTTCGAAACCTTTCACT